TTGCTCCTTTGGGTTATTTTCCACCGTGGTTGATCGTGATACTTGTAGGAAATCTTAGATTTATGCGGAAGCGGTTTAGGACCTAGTACATTGGTATGCTTACCGAATCATCCTTGTTTCACAATTACCTCTCGGTGTGCAGGTCTCGTGTAGAATCTTCCCTTGTAGGATTCCTCTTCACGAACAGCTCACCTCAGCGCCGCAGCACGAACAACCTCCTTGAAGCTGGACTGTGGCAGATCTTCCAAACTATCTCTCGAGGAGGAAGGGGAAGTGTGTGGGCACTGATTAGATTCTGAGCTTGCCTCTTTCTCACAAAAAAGACCTCTTGGAGGCTGATGACTTAAGAGGTACTATTTATATGGGTTCCAAGAAACCCTAGCTCATTGGGCTCTAGGTTCCTTGGGCTCTTCTCATACTAATAACCCATTTGGGCTTTAGTAAAAGAGCAAACCCAACAATCTCCCACTTGCTCTTTTGGATACAAACTTGAGTCGTAAAACCCAAGATCATGTAACCCATAAGTCATCATCTATCCGAAAAATACCCCATCCCTTGTCTCAAGCTAGCTTGGGGATCTACCATCTGTTATTAATCAAGGCTCCTGATAATCAACGAATGATTATCTAATTCGGTGCTACTCCACTAAAAGCCCGAACTTGAACTCCAAGATTAACAACACTTATAACATGAATATGCATCGCCCCTTTGTAGAATGTCTATAATTGATTGACAAGTTTTCTGTAACTCAATCAATTATTTATTCCCTTGACTATGATAGTTTCTTTAATGGATTACATGCACTGGCCAGTGTCTTTAATATCCAAGTACCGAAACATATCAAGGGGACATATCCTACAAATTCCATGTTGTTTATCTCATAAATACCGATAATCAAATAATCTCACTCCCAAAATACCGAGTTATTGGCCGTCAATAGATCGAACCTCACCCGTTGGTAAATCAAAGAATGAAAACTATTTGATTACCTATTTATAATAAACTCAGGGTTAAGAGCAATCACATAACTATAGTTAACTGGAGAATTGATACCTTATGACAGAAAAACAACCTTAATCAAATCTCTCCTTGATCCTTTCAATGTGAATGTTTACAAGGCTTTAAGAGATTCTCATAACTACTCTTGTTTATTGTTAACAATCCTTCAGTTTATCTTTACAAGGCTTACGATGGGCAAGTCACTTGTAAAAACCAAAATTGTTATTTGGGCCTTCAGTGCCATTGCCAGAGCCTCGATGGGAGGGTTAACAATTTTACCAAAGTTGAATGTAATTAACCATTGTTTAATTTCAAAATTATCCTTAGTGTCTAAGCATTGCCGACGATGGGTCGTACAATACTTTACTAAAATTTTGAAATTATTAAGATTTAATCTAGTGAAATCTGATTATCCTTATCCGATGGGGCTTCAGCGATAACCATTTCACTAATAAACCCACAAATGGAGCCCGCAGGTTTTAAAATTAATTAAATTTTAAAACCTTCACCCATTCAACATTTTTGTTTGAGAATTTTCATAAGGCCAATCGAATTCATTGTTTAATTTCAAAATTATCTTTAATAACTTAGTATTATCGACGATGGGTCGTATAATACTTTATTAAAATTTTGAAATTATTAAGGCCCAATAAAATCCAATCATGCTTATCCGTTGGGGCCTCACATGATTATTTTATTGATAGGCCCACAATGCGCCTGGAGGTTAAATTAATTTCTTAATTTAAATCTCCTCCCATAGATATTTAAGTCCAATCTAATAAAATCCAATCATGCTTATTCGATGGGACTTCACATGATTATTTTATTAATGGTCCTTATAATGCGCTTGAAGGTTAAATTAATTTCTTAATTTAAATCTCCTTCCATTCAACATAAGCAACATTTTCTAATTTCCAAGAATTATTTAATTGAGAGTATCCTTTGTTTGGTTTTAAAAACTATATAAGTAAGAGCACCGATAAACGTGCACTAAGCTTAACATAATTTTGAAAGCATTAAGGTCCTGAAATCCGGTCACTTTACGTCAGCGTGTGCTCCAAACAATCATGATACATGAATGTTGTATGCAGCGTGTGTTATTCCATGACCATTTCAGAAAACCCACAAATTACTCGCAAAATAAAAGAATTCTCTTAGGAAATTTTCTCTAATTATTTTTCTAGATTTAAATCATCCAAATAGCTGATTTAATTATTAATCTAGATTGCAACAATCATAATAATTATCATTTATGAGGATAATTTGAAATCAAAATAATTTCCATAACGATTATTTGTCTTGATGTTAATTATCCAAAATTAATTAATTCAATTATTAATCTAGATTTTTAATAAAAATCATAATAATTATTAATTAATTTCTTAGGATGATTTAAAATCAAAATAATCCCATAATAACTATCATACTAGTCGCTGAAGACATAATAGCTATTATGCTCATGCAATCATACAAGTTATGCAACAATATGGCACCACCTATTCTATATGGCATGTTATCGCAATAAAGCATGTTATCAATCATATAATTTATACCAATCAATAAAAGCATTAAATAATAAAATCTAATTACTTTAATCCATGGCCTTCCTATTTTAAAGAAAATAAAATAAAATAAAATAAAATAATACAACTTTGGAATTCGACTTTCGCCTAGCCCATAGTATCTGTCTCAAGCCCCTTTAGGGTTTCATGGGCCCAAAAGCCCAAAGACCCAATCCTTTGGCGAGAAACCCTAGGACGCGAAAGAGAAACCCTAGCCGTCAGGTCTGCCGTGCCGTCACCCGAAGTCAAATCAAGCTGAAACTCTAGGGGAAGGACCGCCACGTAGAGACGAGTGCACCGCCGCCGGAATCACCCAAAAAGGTGGCCGGACGCTCCTTCACTCTCCCATTCTTTGCCGGAGAGTGGCGGCCACTCTCAGAATCTTGTGGAGGCGCGTGTAAACTCAGATGGCGGTAAGCCACCCACCGTTGCGTTCGTCTTTCCGTCCTCTTTCCAACCATATATAGATCGCCTCATTCCGAGATCGGGAAGACCTCGAAAAGTCTCCGACAGTACTGACTGCGCATCTTACTCGCGGTTTCTCGATCTTGAACTTTTACAAAATATTTGAAAAATACACAGAAATTCCAAAAATAAACAAAAACAGCAAGGAGGAAACCTAATCATATGGGATTAGCCTCCTTGTTACAAATCGAGAAATACACGAGAGATCCTAACCATGGATTAAAGCATTTTTACCGATTAAAATTTAAACTTTTATGAAAATGAATTATAAAATACACATGCTAGATTCATACCATAATCCTAGAACCCTAGGTGCCACATTTCAAGAAGCAAAACTAATTACATAAATAGTGAAACTAGATTCACATACCAATGTACAGCCAAGGCTCTGATACCAATTGTAGGAAATCTTAGATTTATGCGGAAGCGGTTTAGGACCTAGTACATTGGTATGCTTACCGAATCATCCTTGTTTCACAATTACCTCTCGGTGTGCAGGTCTCGTGTAGAATCTTCCCTTGTAGGATTCCTCTTCACGAACAGCTCACCTCAGCGCCGCAGCACGAACAACCTCCTTGAAGCTGGACTGTGGCAGATCTTCCAAACTATCTCTCGAGGAGGAAGGGGAAGTGTGTGGGCACTGATTAGATTCTGAGCTTGCCTCTTTCTCACAAAAAAGACCTCTTGGAAGCTGATGACTTAAGAGGTACTATTTATATGGGTTCCAAGAAACCCTAGCTCATTGGGCTCTAGGTTCCTTGGGCTCTTCTCATACTAATAACCCATTTGGGCTTTAGTAAAAGAGCAAACCCAACAATCTCCCACTTGCTCTTTTGGATACAAACTTGAGTCGTAAAACCCAAGATCATGAATGTATTTGCAGAGATTCCGACGCTTAAATAAATAAGTACGAGACATGGGTGGAAAATGTAGATAGGTTAAATTGGTACACCGAAATGAGGGAACTGTTGAAAGTTTGTGAGACGAATTAAAACTGAGACTTGAAAACTACCCTTTTACTAAATGGGGGAGTTCAAAAGCCTATGAGATATTCATCTAGGCTAGGGGATAATTGTGGGTTTTACACGGTATTTTGTACTAAAATTTTAAGATAATGTGTTTTTTGAGTTTTGTTACTTGTATGGTCCTTATTTAACTCGTGTTACCAACATGGTATTCCATTATATATATACACTTCAACTTCCAACGCACGAAACTAAATGATGCTTCAATAATCTCAAGTTGCAGGCAAGCCCAATAAGATGAATGTACACAACCAGCAATCGGAGAAGGACCCCTCACGGAGCTTTTCCTATATTTCCCTGGATTGCCTGAAATATGAGTGTTGTGGGCTCAAACATCACCCATGTAACTTGCGTACACCGAAATGGGTTAAAACTATTTTGGTTCAATCAGGCTAAGCAGCCTGCCATCCCACTTCGTTGAAATTGAATGCCAGATTCAGACAAGAAAATTCGATGGGGCAATCAGAAAAAATTAGGCAAATCAGAGAAAATTAATGATAATATACATATTGCTCCTACACTATTTTTACACAGTCACTAGATAAAATCTCATTTGAAACTTTATCTATCCAAGGAAATTTCTCTTTCTCATTTTTTAAGCAATGTTGTCTTACACATCGCAATTTAATATACTTCATTTTGCTTTTAGCACGTGGGAAACAAACATATATTTTGAAAAACTTAATTAGTGGGCCAATACTGTGCACAACAAATACAACTAAAGAGACTCAGTTAACCATCTAACCAATACAATAATGTTCGACAATACAATAACCACAATTCCAAATGATACGCTACTTTGAACTTCCAATCTTGCAAATTGCCATAACTAGAATAAAAAGAGAATCAATAACAACAATTTGATTGAAGAACAATAATGACTAAAAATACGTTTCTTCATCACACACCGTTACCCATATAATTAATAGCCGACAATACGGCCACATAATCAACTTGGGGGGCAAAATGTAATGACATAACGAGGTGCTTTGCAAGTCTTAAGCCCTGCTGAATCATCATAGGCGTAACTATAAGCCTGAGGGCAAACGGTCTTAAAAAGACGAGCAAACTCACTTGGCTTGCAGCTTTTTGGGCTAGCAAAGTCCCCAGTGCAACAATACCTATCTGATTTTGCAGCCAAACAAGCACTCTTGCATCCCACAACCTTCCCTTGTCGCTGCACAACAAGTGCTGATGGACAACAAACATTCAAGTTAGCCTCACATGCTGCAACACCACAACCAACCCCACCACCCACAGGCTTCATGGAAACTGGAAGGTTAAACCCGTCAACCAAACTAACATCATAGAAATGCAATGCTGATTGAGAGGTTCCAAGGGTCATTTCCACAAGGGTAGCAGGAGGGACTCCACCGATGCCACTACACTTCAAAAGTCCTCCACAATCACCTGTTTCACAATAACCTTTTCCTGTTTTTGGGTCAAAGCAACAACCTTGTCTACCCCATATTCTCCCTGACCATCCCTCAGGGACTTCCAACACCGTCTCTTCGCCGCTGCAAAGTTGAAAGCCACCATCTTTTGGAGATGGGTGCCCTGCACTGCCAAGGATACCGGGCCACACGCTCTCTTTGCAGTTGTTCACCAAAATGAGTTGAGTCCCATCTGCAACAAAAAGCACCAGAAAACAATTACACAAATTGTCAACAATCCCAACACTCAACTACTGTAAAACAAGAAGACAAAGTGCATGAAAAAAGATTGTTATTAAGCAGACATAGAGAGTTCAAGTGCTTCAGTGAAGAAACTGATCAGTTGAGAGGCTTTTTTTTTTCGTTGCTTCTGTTCTGTTATGAGAGAGTGAAATTGAAAGAGTACCTGTGAGGGAGATGGAGATGAGAATGCAGAGAAAAGTGAAGAGATGCAAGGAAGTAGGCATTGGAGTTTGGAATGCTAAGAGCCTCATGCAGAGAAGGAAATGGAGAGAAAGAGTAGTGGGAGAGGGTCTCTCTGAGGAGTGGTTTCCTTCTTTATAGTCATTTCGTGGTGTTTTAAAAACGGTTTGCTAAAGAAGAGACTCTAGCTCTTCGATTCGAACGGTTACCTCTTTCTGCCTTTTATGCTTTTTTTCATTCTTTTATTCCAAATTTCTAACTTTAATTTAACTTCATTTGCCCTTTTTTAAAAAATATGATAATTCGAAAACGAATCTTAACGGCAAAATTTGACGTTTAAGTCTCTTTATGATATAAATATTCTATGGTAGTTATTTTATTTATTTCTTTATTATTAAAAAACATGAATCAAAAAGTGAATTAGGGAGTTTGTTTTTCTGTTCAAGGAGTTTCAAATCTCGTACTAGATGATGAGAGAATCACTATCGATTTTACTAATAAGACATGCATGCCTTAATTCTTAATAGAAGAAATAAATTAAATTGTTTATGTGTTGGTGCTTAAAATTTGAATATGATATATATGAAAGACACTGGATTTATTCAACCTATGTGTAACCTTTTATGAAATTGATTGGAAATATTACATAAAGGAATAGAATTCTTGAGAGAAAGAAAATATATTTTTTTCATTATAGAGAATAATGGAGGAAGCCTCTATTTATAGAAAAAAAAAATCACTATTTACACAATAATCATGAAGAGTAATCCCATGCATCAACATTAACCATGAACAATAATCTCGTGAATAAACAATAACCTTGTATCAAATGTGTATGAACAGTAGTTTCGCATACAAAGCGCCTAGGAACAATAATAACGTATATGAGTAGTTATACTACTTATAATAAAGAAGTTGTAGAGATAAGGATATGAAACATCCATAAATTTATTTCATAACATAGCATAACTATTATTTTATTTTATTTTTGCTGTTGAGAAGCATGACAAGAGTCGTTGAAAATTTGAGAAAGAAAATAAGGATAAAAAAAAAAATGTAAGATTGATAAAATTGCTACAGATATGTACAGTAAACTAAAGAAATGACTTATACAGAACAAAGAAGAAAAAACTGACCAATTAGCAACCACATGTGTGGTAATAATTGCAATGAAGAAAAGAAAGAAAGAAAAAAAGTAGTATTTGATAGAGAATGCTTTGCATATCTGTCAAGGGTGGAGAAAGCAATAAAAGGAGAAAACGTATTTTTCATTGGTGATTCAAATTCAACTTTGTGCTACAATAACTGTAATTTTTTTGAGTACCCCCTCTTCACTGTGGACCTCGAAGGGTATAGGGTAAAACCAACCACAAATACTAAGTCATAGAAACATACAAAAAATTAACTCTTTTCCTATTCACCATAAAGTGAAAGGGACGTGGCCACAACATCACCGGCCATAGAAGACCACATGCTCATCCTATCGAAATACAATGAAGTTGGACACGAATGCCCCAAGTCCTCAAGGTCCCCACCACCACCAACCTGCGGCGGCGCAACCACCTCCGACAACGGCAACTCCCCTTTCAAGTACATCAACGCCTGCCTAATACTGGGTCGTTCTCCGGGAGAGTCATTGGAACACATCAAGCCCAGTTTGAGGACCATCAAAGCCTGTACCCTATCAAACTCACCACACAACTTGGGGTCCACAACCTCCAAAACGGCACCGTCTCGCCAACGATCCCGAACCCAATCCACGAGTATGAGTTCCTCCGGCAATGCCTTAGGCTCAAAGGGCCTTCTCCCACACACCACTTCAAGCAACAAAGTACCAAACGCAAACACATCAGAACTCGTGGTTGGTTTCCCTGTTCGCGTGAGTTCAGGTGCCAAGTACCCCAATGTTCCCACCACTCTGGTCGTGGTCGGGTTCGCCCCATGCTCATAGAGCTTCGCCAAACCAAAGTCACCGAGCCTGCCATTCATTTCTGAATCCAACAAAACATTCCCAGCTTTTATGTCCCTATGAATCACTGCTTGTTCCCATTCCTCATGCAAATACACAAGACCACAAGCTACCCCCTTTATGATATTGAACCTCTGTTCCCACCTCAATATTTCTTTTGGTTCGTCGAATAGGTACTTGTCCAAGCTACCATTCGGCATAAAATCGTACACAAGTAGTAGATCACACCCCTTCCGACACCAACCTAGTAACTGTACTAGATTCCTATGACGAAGCCTACCAATGGTTGCAATCTCCGACACAAATTCTTCCCACCCTTGCTTTGAGTCATTGGAGATTCGCTTCACTGCGACTTGGGTGTTGGAGTTTGGAAGAACCCCTTTGTAAACACGACCAAAACCACCAAAACCAATTAACTGTTTTTCATTGAAGCCCCTCGTCGCTTGCTTCAGCTCTTCGTATGGGAATCTGTGTGGACCAATGTCAACCTCCCAAGCTTCAATAAAATCATTCTTCATCTTTCGGACCAGATAAGTTCCTAACCAAAAAATTGCCACAATCATTGTCAGAATAGCAGCAGAAACAGTGACCCCAACGATTACGGTTTTTGTGCTCTTCTTAGACTGAGGGAGTGGTGGTAATGTTTCCAAATTCAGAGATTTTGCTTCTCCATTCATCTTAAAGCTCCAACCTAAGATATAGTGCCAGCTCGCTAGCATCCCTGTTGAAGCAGAAAACCCAACATACATAGCGTCTTCAAGAATTGGTGAAAGATCAACGTTGTAAGACAAAATGGGAAAACTGGGTTTTGAAGAGGTTGAAGAAAGCCTAACATCCAATTGGTTTCTAGAAGAATTGTAATCCACCCATGCCTGAATCACCTTGCCACACTTCAAATTAAGGACTTTCTTGGTTGACCCATCGGTGAATTGTTGAGCTGGAACAGACATACTAGATTTCATGTTGTTCAAGTTGATACCCACGTGGTTGCCGTTGATGTCATAAAAATCATAGTCCTGGACAGTGTCAAACTCCACCGCGAACAAGTGATTTGAGAAATTCCCAACATCGTGTGGGTTGAGAAGGCCAAGGTACTGATTAGGATATGCACCCGGAAGCGCTTTTGAGGGAGAAATGGTGAAGGCGAATCCATGGCCACCTTGGTTTGTGTACCGGGTGGTTATTGCAAAAGCGAAAGCGGTGGAAAAGGATGAAACTTTGCCGTTGGTGGAGTTCTTGAAGTGGATTGGGTTTGAATAAAACGCGTGCCCTAGTACTTTGTTGTTGTCGTTTGTAAGTTGAAGTATGCCATTGTCCACAACCACTGCACTTCCGTTTATGCTTATGTTGGTGGCTGCAGCAGCACCGTTAAACCCCTCAAAGAAGAGATCTTCCCGCTGAGAGTTTATAGGGACTAAAGCCAGAAAGACAACATAGAAAAATATGAGTGTTTCTGCCATAACAGAGCTGAACTTGAAGCAAAGCAGCGTAGTTAAGGACTTGGTCTGAAAAGTGAAAATGTTTGAAGAATTCATAATGTTACATCATTGGACTGGTTGCAGAGACTCATACAGTGTCCCCAGGATAGTAAACGCGGTTTTTTGCTTTCACGAGAGCATTTAACATGAGTTAGGTTCACCGCACCATATCAACAAACAACGAATGTTATTTGCGTGGTGAATGTATATGGGTTTAGCGGAGGGATATTCTAACTCTCAAAATTTTTCGCTATTAATTTATTATCTATTTAATCATTATATTAACATTTTTTTTATTTTCAAAAACTTTTTACATTCTCAAAGAGATCCAACGATGAGTAGTAAATTAGTAGTGAGAGTTTTTTGTAGTTAAAATATCCTCACTCATAGCTTTTTTTTGTTTTTTGTTTTTTTTGTTTTTTCCTCACTCATGGCTTTAATGTTTTATGCATGCACATAAAAGTTATATTTTATAGGGCTTTACTTTTTATTTTACTCATCTTGTAGGAGAGAAATTATCTTATGTTGTGAGATAAATTAATTGGAGCTCACCAATTTTTTTAAAAAAAAAGAAAAAGAAAAAAAGATAGAGACATATTTTTTTATGTGAGTATAACATGAGATATGAATCTTATATACCATAAGGTGGTGTTTGGTTGGAAGCTTTTCAGCGGATATCTATCTTTCTAAGTATGGCTTTTAGAAATACCATGTTTGTTTCAACGTTTTTCACCAAAAACTCATCTATCCAATTTGTCTGGATTTATGAGAAACATAGATATCCGTACTGTTTAGAAACCCAATTTGAAAGTGGGATTTTTCGAAAAACCGGTTATCTGGCTTTTAATGTACTGTTGATTTCATAAAGTTACCTAATTTTCTCAGTAAAGTTTTTCCCCACCAAACAACTTTTTTTTACATTTTTCTACCTATCTCACTTTATCTATCTTTCAAATCATTTCTCTATCTATCTCATTTCCCTACTATTTCAAAAAAAATTCTCTGAACCAAACGCCCCCTAAGAGTTTAATTTTCCTATTTTATGTATGGGTTTTATATTTCTGCAACTGTTGTACGTGCAACAATCAAATACTTGTCATCCATATATTTGAAAGCATTAAATGCGAAGAATCACAACCATACAAAGAATGAAAGCATTAAATGTGAAAAATCATAATCATACACATATCGTTGCTGACTGCAGAAATGATTTTACTTATATATATATAATTTGAGAAATAATCCGTTTATAAATTTTTTTTACAAATATAAATATGATCGATCATATATTCTTGATTAAAGTATGACCGATCATATTTAATATAATTTGTAAGAGTTTATAAACAGATAATTTATAAAATAACATTTCCCGTACAAAAAAATTTATGAGACTATATTTTTTATTTCTCTTTTCTCTTCACTTTTTCTCTCTTCTTTTCTCTGAACTTCGTATATTTTGTATATGTGTATACGAATGTATGGGAAAGCAACTCTGGTTGGTTACGAATTTTGTGCTCCATGTGAATTAGTAGTGTAATGTCTTAACCAATGGATAATATCCAAAACATATTCCGTAATTCTTTACCTTTATTTGTATTTTATATATATATATATATCAATCTTAATTACTTATTTCATTTTAGTAAGTTTCATGGATATTTTCATAAAATTCAATTTTTTATGTTGGTTATTAAACTAATTTTGAGATGGGATTTAGTCATAGTTGAAATGCTTTTCCCCTTACTAAAAATATATTTAATGGAAACTGAATTCAAGTTCTCTTCCCATTTTATCTAATATATGTTACCAATTGAATTATACTCATTAAATTTCTTTATTTGTATGTTAACTCCGGACTTTATAAGCAAATGTAATTCACGAATATTGTTATTACGATTTTCCCGCTCTTCTCAATCTCTATTCTATCGTTGAGATTATATGAATTAAAGTTAGGATTTTATAAGAGTTATGTTGTAGGAAAATTGATTGTGTAATGTTATAGAGATTCATTTTACGTGCGTTAGTTTTTTTTTTTTTGCTTTAAAAAATACGGGCCCTACAAAATGTTGTGTGTGTAGGAAACTTTTTTATGTCATGTTAAAGGACAAAACGAAAACCCTTAAAGTTATGCCTAAACTAACATTTTCTTTTAGGGAAAAAATCTGTTTACAAACTTTTTTGAATTTTTTTTACAAATTACACTATGTTCTTCCGGGAGAATATAGTGTAGTTTGTAAACAAAATTTTTTGTAAATATAACATGCCTCTTTCTTTTATAGGAAAAACACTTCTTATGCAACATAAGAAGTGTTTTCTCATATTGTGATCATTCAATTTGCGTACAATTTTTTTTTTAATAAATGTGAAGCCTATTATTAATTGAGTCGTAATATGATAAAACAATTTTCATCCAACATGAAAAAATCAAACGCTTCTTTTTATATACTACAACTTAGTAAGCTTGATGAATTTAACAATAAATCAATTCAAGGTTTTAGATATAACTAAATTGTCGAGAGTCAAAATTAATTCACGGTAGAAAATAGTCATGTTTTTCAATTTTGCTTTTATGGTATCAAACTATAACCAACGAAGTGTCTATTTTTTTAGCCTCCTACTACTAGTGCACAGGAGAAAGTCTGTAGAAGACTACATGTGTGTCTAACTTTATGATATTAAATAATATTGAAATAGTTTGTTTGGAATCACTGGTCTAAATCATATTGAAAAAGTATAAGGTTTATTTTTACTAGAATACAAATTTAAGCAAGTTGTAGAAGTTTGTGCACGCGTGTGTCTAATTTTTATATCGTTTTTTAATAAATGAATATGTATTTCTTATTTATTACTTCTTATAATAAATATTTAAAATGAACCAAATATAGCTACAAATAATTCTAAAAAGGATAAGTAATATCATGATATCAATACTTTATTTGGGATCCGGACGCCAGAGCCAGGGGACCACAAAAATGGATATTCTGGAGACTTGTACGATGGACCTTCAAATTATTGTAGCATGGCTGGCCCATTGATATGACCTGATATAAACTTATAACAGGACAGGCTAGACCCCCTTCCATTATTAGCTGTAAGCCTGTAACTACTAACTTGTAACTCCTATTATTCTCATATATTGCAAGTTATAGTCCTAAACTGACAATTACGAATTAGTCCTCCATTCTCTTAAGCCCTTTGTTGTACGAATCCATCTGAAACAGGAGCAACATGTAGAGGTCCCGGCCCAATGCACCTTTTGTGAGAGAGAGAGAGGAGAGAGAGGAAGAAGGGAGAGAGAGAGACCAGGGAAATAATTTCCCTAAACATGTTACTTTTATGGGTTGTATTATTTTATTTTTTTAAGATAGTTACCTTATGTTGTAGTGGAAAAATAGGTAGGTCCTACTATTATAAGAAAAAAGAAAAATATGAAGTGCGAAAATTAAAGTGAAAGAATAGGAGATAAGTTATTTTACGTAAAAATAGAATAACATTTTCCTACTTTTATATATATATATATATATATATATATATATATATATATATATAAAGAAAGATAACTGCATCACCAACTTTTTATTTAATAAATACATTGAAACATTGATCAAACTAATACTATTTTGAAAAAATTATCAACAATATAATTGAAAACTACTTACCAAATGATATAATTTTGCGAAGAAATAATATAATATAAAAATAGTAGAAGCTAGGCCACTTAAGTTTTGGATTAAATAGATATGTGCCCCATCCTTCATAAAAAAATGTTATAAACCCTAAAAAAACTCATAACACTATGAGCCTAATTTAAAAAATTCATATTTTAAATCCTAAAAAAATGAGCTTTTTATGTGATAGATTTGTAAATTATTCATATTTCAATCCTATAATATAAAGCATTGTTAATAAAATTGAACCGGCCAAGTCGATCCGGAACTGGTGAACCGGTCATATAATTGGTTCAGTTGAAGCAGCGGACCGACCATGCATTGGACCTGGTGTGACCCGGCCAATTTTGGTGAAAATCGGTGATCCGACCAAGTTTATTTAAAAAAAAAATTCCAAAAAAAATTATCATTGACTTATTTGAAAGATTTGTTGCTTATTGACTTATATAGGTTATATACCTACAATAATAATATTATCTCAGTTATGTACTATACAGGAAATTTTGATTTGATTTATAATTAGAGATGTCATTTATTGAATCTGAAACACTAATATAGCAGTATCACATGCATTATATATTTGTTTGATCCTTTATTGGATAATAATGTGTAATTTATTATTTTATATTAAAATTTTTAAAATTTATATTATTATTTTTAACTATTTGAGTATGTTTATAATTTTTTTAATATAAATTATAAATTTATATATAATTACTGAGTTATGTAAATGACCAGGATGATTTTAGTAACATTGTTATAAAGCTCTTGGATTGAGAGAGGATGTTAAAAAAAAAATATCTTCACGTACTAGTTTAAATTTTGAGTTGAATTAATTATTTATAAATTTGATTATTATTTTTTTATCATTTTTTATTATGCGGGCCTTACAAATGTGACACGTGAATTAAAAATGAGCATAAGATGATGACACAAGTCTTGTTTATAAGGTCCACATGATTAAAAGTATTAAATTATTTTGCTTTAGTGAATAATTTTTAAACTATATTATTCTGACAATTTAATTTTTAAAATTATATTACTTTGATCAATACTCTAAGTAAGATTAAAAAATGATATTTACAAAATTTTATATTATTAAAAAATTATATAATACTTTATATATATATAATTTATTTGATTTGTGTGTGAATTTATTTTTGGAAATATTAACTAATTAATAAGTGCGATCTCATAAATTATAATCGTTTAATTCATAAAAATTAATGGTTAAAATTTGATATCAAATAATCCTGCTATATATGATCAGTCCAGTGCAAGATAGGATGGGTCAAATCACACATAGTTGAAGGTTGTGAGCCTCAAGGCTATTGCAAGATAGTCTGGCGCGATGAGGGATGAACTTCTCCTTGAAGTGTCTATGTTGTAACTATGACGCAATGGAGTGACTGGGGGTGGTACCTACAAGACACTCCAACGCTCAAGTCAGTATCAATGCAAGGTGTGTATCGTTTTTAATGGAGAGAGATGTCCATACTTGGGCTTGTACCCTCTATATTATAGTGCACTATGTGCTGCTCTTTAGGGCGGCATCTCTTCTTATTGGTTATTTTGGGGTGGTTGTCCTTCTATCAAATTCGTTACCTTTCAAGCTATTCCTCGATGAACAAGTCTAAATACTAGTTTGTCTCCTTAGAGTAATGGCAAGCTGGAGCTGTTTCACTTGTACTAGCTCTTGTGTGCGACCGACTTTATCAAATCACTATGGTCTTCCTTAGTCTTTAAGTTTTAACCCGTGGTTTAGCGCGATGGAATGCGCAATGAGGACATTGCGCCCATCTCATTTGGACCCTTCCTAGATCTCTAACTATTGAACCTGTATTTTATCCGGATACACACACACATATATATATATATGATTTATTATTTGTACTGTCACTGTATATAATATTTCGTACTGTTAGCTAAAAATGACATCGTTTTGGTAGGATAAAGAAAATTTGCGTTCAAAATTAATTGCAGAAAATGGAAATATTATATTTTTTTCACCTTTGTATGGTTATGATTCTCCATATTTAATGTTTTATATTTATTTTCATTTTTATATGGTTATAATTTCCTATATTTAACGTTTTCACACTATAAAACAACGTAATTTTATATGACTGCACCAATGCTTAGGTACAGTCATTATACATCCGATATATATATATATATATATATATATATATATATATATATATATATATATATAGGAAAAAGATATTGTAACAATCAAGTTGTGTTACTACCAATCAATCTCACCGTTAGATCGATTATGTTGATCCAACGGTTATATTTATTTTCATCTTTGTATGGTCATGATTTCTCAAATTTAATACTTTATATTTATTTCCACCTTCGTATGGTTATGATTTCCCATATTTAATGCTTTCACTTTAAATATGGGGAATCATGACCACACAAAGATGGAAATAAATATAACCGTTAGATCAACATAATCGATCTAATGGTGAGATTAATTGGTAGTAACTTGGTAATAACACAACTTGGTTGTTACGATATCATTTCCTATATATATATATATATATATATATATATATATATATATATATATATATATATATATAGGCTTATCATTTCTCAAGCTGCTTGAGATAATTTTATCTTCGGCTACTATACAAAGATGGATCAATGGTCGTAATTATTCAAATGCAAATCAATTAATATAAAGAAATAAATAAATAAAATAACGTAATTTTGGAGTGGCTGAAGATAAACTTATCTCAAACTGCTTGAAAAATATTTATATATATATATATGGCTTATAAAAGAATATGCTGACTTACTGAAATGTCTCTGATTATCATTCTTCTCAGAAGTTATTTACATTTAGTCACTAAATTTTGTATGTTACTGAATTTTGCATTTATGGTTAATATATTTGTCAATATTTCAGCACAAAAATAACCCCGAGTGAAGAAAAGAGAGTTCCCTTTACACCTTAATTTTCTTTTTCTTTTTCTTTTTCGGTAGACTCGTTAATCATCTAACCAAAGAAAATGTCATATTCTCTTTCAATTCCCTCCCTTTCCTTCTCCTCCAATAAAATTAGCACATCTTGAATATATTTCAAATACGGCTATTCATTGCATGCAATTTTGTATATATGAAATCGATTTGCTAATTAAGAAACTGAAATTTTGTGAGGACTCCATATTCATCGATCATCTTTAGGGTGATATTAACATCGTGTCATACAAAAAATTGAATATAGAAAAGCAATAACATAGCACAGACCGAAAGAGAAAGGCACCAATACGATTTAACATTGTGCACAATATAACTCAAAATTATAGAGGATAACAATCCCATATGAGAACATGATAACAAAGTTATTCGATTACTCAAATCTCAGCTTCTTCTCCTTTCCCCTAGTAGGTGGAGATTAATGCTTAGATTCTTAGAATGTGTATAAACAGGTTCCATCATCACTTCTTGCAGTTGGGTCGAAGTTGGAGGCATTTGGATCAGTACAACCTCCAGGAACGGGAATATTTACTTGCTGTGCTGCTTGGCCTGCACAGAAAATGTTACAATAAATAATTTTAGACCTAGTTTTATTTGATTCAAATATACTTTTTGAGTTTAATTTTGATATAGTGTCATCATTCAATTATGTTATGTCAAATCATTGAAAGAGTTTGATGAGGGCAAGGCAATACATGATTAACTGGAACAAATTTAAATGTATATATTATTTATTTGAAGTTGGCTAAATTAAATTTAATCTAGATGCTATGAAGGCCTCAAGATAAAGGATCTAACCATAGAAAGTTCCTCTGTTAATGGAATCTTGGTTAGCATCACCAAGAGCAGCCTCGCTCATATACTTGTCTGCCAGTTGGACTCTCTTCACATTCTCTTGTTCTTGGACAAGCATGTTACCATACTCCAAGAGCTTACTCAAAGTCATCTTGGGCTGATCAAAGGTTGGAGGTCCTTCCTTTGAGTTCACAAGCCTCTTCCCAATGCCATCAACACCAATACCAGAAATCCACTTCCTCACTTCATCATCGTAGACTCTGGCCCTGAGTGCACCAAAGAAATCTGCAATGACACATGGCATATCATTACTCTTATTGTTCTACTTCTAGTTCTTTTCTCAAGCAACTAAATCCCACTTAAAATTTCTCAGTTGTATACGGCAAAGTTTTGTACTTCCTTTGAAATCTCAACTGGGTTTAGCAGGGAACTTACCAATGGATTGGCCAGGGAAAGTATCAACAAGCTTCACAATGTCCTCATCAGCCACATTGTCACAGCGGAAAATTCCCTTGCAGACACCAACTCGGTCATCCCTTGTAGGTGCCCAGTAGAACTTCTCCATACGCCCATCACGGATGAGAGGAGCATACAATGTTGAGAAATCATTACCAGTGACAATGATGGGCACACGTGGGTTCTCTTCCTTGTTGTACATACCAGGGAGCTGAACATTTGTGGGGTTATCAGCAATGTTCATGAGGGTGGCATTCACCATCTGGTTGTTGACAGTGTATTGTGTGGTTCCACCCATACGACCAGCTCCTGCATCAAGATCATTGATGAAGAGTGCACACATCTTTCCCTTCCTGATTATATCAGCAGCTTCACGGTATCTTTGCCTGATCAGTTTTGCTGGCTCTCCTGCATTTCCACTTTCCAGCTCTCCGGCACTCATCATGATTGGGCTGTAATTACAACATCATAGTGACACATACATCAATTGTTGAGTGCTAACTGCTAGGTACTAAGTTCTAATGCATAGAAGAGACTTTCAATCCCAACATTGATTGCTACTAAATATAACTGATGCGTTCTGTAGTAGTACAGTTCATTTAGTAGGGGTTAGTATTAGTTTAGCAATAACTCACTTGATTCCCATCTTAGCAAAGACAAGTTCGCATTGGAAAGATTTTCCTTGACCTTTGCCTCCCCAGATACCAAGAATGAGAGGAACCTGTAAAAATAATGAAAAATGTTAAATGTGTCTCCCTATTTTATAAAAGTCTTAGGATAGTATTTGTGGAGAATCATATGTCTAATTACATGCCTTGATGTTGGGCAGGGACATGAAGTTCTTGGTGATGTGAACAACAAGCTTGTCCATAAAAGCAGGAGCAATGTAAAAACCGTCCATGTTGTTGTCCAAGTTGTACCTGAAATACCATCATAATTAATGACCAGCTTTAGATCATAAGTGACTTCATGTTTTCAACTCATGACAAGAAAAAGGATAAGCAAACACTATAAAGTGTAGAATTCCAAAGTATCTCTCACTCACTGTCTAAGTCCAGTGCTAAGGTACTCATAAGAGCTCATGACTGCGTAGTGAGTTCCAGTTTGCTGTGGAGCTTGGAAAAGGGAATCAACCATACCCTTCCCCCTTGTGATGTCTTGCTGGTCATCTGAAATATCGTATGCCAGACCCTTCCATCTGTCCTTATCGGTCTGCTGGCCCTCATCAATCTCTGCAGCAACAATTTTGAAACTTCCAGAGGAAACCTTGGTGTTGGGGAGCCTTGAGGTAACCTTCTTCAAGCAGCTCCCAAAGAAGGTTGAACTGGGAACTAGAGCTACAGCGCCAGAGCTATTCAAGCTCAGCTGCAATATCACAGTAGCTACTCTTTCACACTATTCAAACCATCTTTAAAAGTTCACTCACTCACTTGTCACAGGCTTCCAATTTCCAAATATGTTTTTATCATGCCTCAAGTAGGAAGTAAATTACTACTCATGGTGATTTAGTGTCAATATAAATTAGGAGGAGTGAAAAATTAAGGATAGTTTCTTTCTTTTTTATAATTCTCTCTCTTGAATTTTATTTTACTCATAGTTTTACAAGTGTACCAAACTCATAGCTAACCTTACTGGCACCAAAAAAAAAATAAAAAAATACTTGCTACAATATCAGATAAGAAGAACTTAAACTTAAATTCTTAGCTAGGTGTGTTCTATTACACATTTTTTAGACATTTAAATCAATATTTGACGCATATAAAAAAAAACTTCCAAAGAAAAGTGCATTTACAACACAATTCTAGAATTTTACACATAGTAAATGATGCTTGAAATGGTCATGATACACTATATTCACGTATGAATTACTTAAGAGAGATTAAGGAAAGGAATAATTAATTAAAGTGTAACAAAAGTAGGAAAAGCATCTTACTGGAGTTCCGTTAACTGCTCCAACAGTGGAGATTGAGGCAGCCATGGCAGTGTTGTACTCGGAGTTGTAGAGAAGGAGAGGTACTGCAAGCAAATTCAGAGCATATACTTTGAGGCCAGCAGATATAAGCACATGAAGAACTTATAGTAAGAGGCTCATTTGTGTGTACAGAAATTCATATCCTCAAGATTAGTTGGAGAATCCTTAACATCCACACAATGAAGATTACATGCCTTCCACGTGGCAACAATATAATGCCTGTAAGGTCTAAGCCCCAAGAGACATAGATCTTGAGGTTGGCATGAAAGACTTTTCCTGCTCCATCAGTTATAAGGAAATTTTATCACCACACAAAGCTAGTAGCACTTATCTCATCTGGTTCAAGCATTGTCTACTGTCTGTTTCACTAGAAGAAAACAAGTGCTTATCAACAGTATTAATATTTCTAATGGTTAATTAATTACACAAAAAATCTGAAATTTAATTTTTAGCACATTTTACTACTGACCCACAAAAGCAACTTATGTTGAAAAAAAATGGGCATATGAAAAAAATTTAGTTTTCAAGAAATTATGTTGAAAAATGGGTCATGCAATATAATTGTATAGAAACGGGAGTTTTGGTGATTGAGATGATTTACAAAGGGAATTGACACCCAACACTTCTGATTCAAAGGGTAGGGACCAATGGCCCCAAAGATGCACACAAGCTGCTTTATCCGCTGCCATTAATTAATGCCTCTCCGGCTCTCCCTGTCTCGGTTACGTGCTGCATGTCTTTGTGAGCTTGAAGGAAATTCGGAACTTTAGTGAGTTTCTCCATTCTTATGCTTCTAAATAAACCAAAAATATTAAAAAAAAAAATCATAAGTTCTGAAATGGAAATGGCGATGATTCTTACACACGTTCATCAAGATTTTACATTAGAACCACCACAAATTGAATTTCATAAAAGTAAGTCTAAAGCATATATTTTTCAAGTTCTTGATGAAACTGAATCTTAACCGTCTCCGCTATTTCACACTTTCTTTGGTTCCACTAAACATATAAAATATTTTTTCCACACTCACATAAATTGTGAAGAGAAGATAATAAGATTTTTTCACTTTTTATGTAAGCATGCCAAATAAATATTTTCTACAATAAAAATAAAAATGTTAAATCCATATAAGTTATTTCGGCTTTTCCCTAACAAAGAGATATCATTATTTATCTATAGTGTTATGTTATTTTTACATATTCGTCACAGGTGCGTTTTTAATTAACTATAAATCTGATTTGTACCTAACAAATAACATCAATATTTAAATCACAAATAGTAGGGGTAATTGAGTTAAATAATTGATCAATAAATAGTAATACATAAAGAAAAATAATAATCTCATGTTACATGAAATTATCTTATGCTTTAGATACAAATTAAATATGGGACTCATTTTAAATTTTTTTTCTCTCCCTTATTCTCTTCCATGTGTGTAGGAAATAGTTTTTCTCATGAGAAAAACAATCCCCATATGTAAAACCAATGAATTTAGAAGAGATTGGTATAAGGAGTTCCTTATACCAATCTCTTTTAAAGTGTAATTTATAAAGTTGTAGTCAAGTATAAGTGATTAATTTTGATGCACATAAAGTGAGAACTCAACAAAGAATTTAAGTAACTACTTAATGGGTTAATTAAAAAAAATTTGGTCTCAATCAAATTTATGGCCAGTAAATATGATTATATTTTCAAGAAATTTGATGTATTTTAAAAGCCTGATTGATTTGATTTAATTATTAAGTTTTCCTATATAATTTTTTGAATATTAGGGCTAATTTAATTTTAATTTTTTTTATTCTAAGTATGTTTAATGCTGATTAATTCATACATAATTATTTTTTTTAATTATTATTTTTTAAATGTTGAATGCTGATTGGATTGTACACAATTAATTTTAAATATTTTATTTTTTAAATATATCTAATTTTGATTATTTTCTGAGTGGTTTATATAAAAAAAATAATTGAGAACACCTACCATAGAGTATTGAATTTTCTATTATTTTAATAATTTATTTGAGATGTCAATTTTTATTCTGTTTAATCATTTTTTCTCACCTTTTTTAAAATCATTTTTTCGTTTTCTTTGAGCTCCATATTTTGAACTTTTAAAGCATGGTAATATTCATTGCATATATATTACATTTTTTTTAATGAGCTTAAACCTATGCAATATTTGATAAGTACTGAACGTTTTTCCGAGATACATATTAAGAATAGTTAGATAGATAAGAATAGTTAGATAGAAACAAAAATAAAAAATTATGGCTATATACTTTGTGTGTTTGTGCTTTTCATATCATATGTTAATTTGTTGTGTTCTTCAGTTATATTCTTCTTCCTATATTATAACTGTGTATATATTTTGTTAGTTGCTAGCATTAGGATTTTGGGCTACGGCAATGCATTTCTATTTGTAGTGATTTTTTTATTTATTTTTTATACTGACCCTAATTATTTCTCTAAGATGAATTGGCTCCCGAATATTTCCACAACTATTTGAGTCGACATGAGCCTAATCTTGAGTGGGGGCTTAATCACAATTAAAGCGCACTTCTCGTTTTTCTCCAAAGATGTATTTGGTGAGAATCAAACTCAAGTTTTCTCCTACTCTACTGAGTCTACATTGGCAACTGAATTACATCTAATGATTTATTTTTTAGATTTTTATTATAAGAGCATAGTTATATTTACAAATTTTTTATTTAAAAACTATACTATATATTACGTGTAGTACATACTACTTGAGCATATAATACCCGTAGTACTTAGTGTAGTTTGTAGACAATTTTTTTTTTAAGTATAACCTACTCCTTAATGAAAAATTTGTAAACGTAATGCATTTTATTATTAATTGGTATCTTCTTTTAACAATAAGTGCATTAGACATTTATTTTTATATAATTTAACTTTTATTTATATGTTTATTATTTTAAAATTAATTATTATCTCAAATTTTGACTAATCATATTTCCTTTATTATCTAGTCAAATTTTATTTTCAACTCCTCTATTTTGTCCCCTGTACTATACATGTGACTTTAAATACATTTATCTTCCATTTAATTTTGCTTTTTCATATTTTTTATCATCGTCGCAGATAATATTTTAGACCCACCTAAAAAGTTAATTTATGTTTGGATCTAACATACTGGTATAATTAATGAAAAATACTACTAAAAATATATACAGAAGTATAAATGGAAGATGGGTCACTTAGTTAATCTTCCGCTCATAACAGTATAACATGGATTTAAAATCCAGAGATCTCCCTTTGTAGCGATCTATTGTCTTTTTATAACTCTTTTTAAGCTGAATGATGATTTGACCTGATATTGAACTATATATTTATATATAGGGATAAGATTCGTTTATAAATTTTTTTTGCAAATTACACTAAGTACGACTGGTCGTACACTGCATGATTAAAGTATGACCGGTTGTACTTAATGTAATTTGTAAACAAAAAAGTTTGTAAATATAACATGTCTCTTATATATATATATATATATATATATATATATATATATATATATATATATATATAGGTAGGATCATTTGACACCAGTGTCAAATTTGAAGTTTGACACCTCATCTGAGAGTCGTTAGATCAAAAAAAATCAACGGCGCCACATGCTTACAAATCAGAGTCGTTGATAGTTTTTCCCTATATATATATATGACAAAATATATAGGAAGGATCCGTTTACAAACTTTTTTGTTGAGTTTTTACAAATTACACTATTTTCTTCCGGAAAAACATAGTGAAATTAGTGTTCTTCTGGGAGAAGATAGTATAATTTGTAAGAATTTATAAACAAAAAAGTTTGTAAATATAATCTGTCCCAAAATATAATACAGTTTAAAGTGAACTCAGTTATTAAAGTTGGAGACGGCATTAGCTAATTTGTGTTTTTAAATCAAAAAAATGTTTAAAAAATTTATGATAATTAACTAAATTTTTTAATGAAGAAAAAATCAAAAAAAAAAATATTTTAATATTTTTTTATAAAATAGAAATTAAAATTTATTAAAAATTTCTAAAAGAATATATCATTGATGTATATATATTTTTCAAAACTAAAACTAAAACTACGAAAAAACAAAGGGAAAAAAATATTTAATGTTATTTTAGATGATTTTATCTAATTTTCACCAAAACGACGTTGTTTTGGGGTTAAAAAATTATAATGATAAAGACTATTATAACTCTAACATAAATTAAAATTATAAATATATCATGATTTTTGCCTCAAAATGGCGTCGTTACGGGTGAACATTAGACAAAGTTATATAAAGTAACTTTAGAAAAAACGAATCCTAAAATAAAACAAAAAAGTTTAAAAAAAAAAAAGTAGAACACTTAACACTAGGGGTGTGAATAAGCTAGACTAGGTTTTGACTTAAATAGGCTAAGTCTGTGTAAAAAATCTTAGGCTTTACCTGGCCTATTAGCCAGTGTAGGCCCAATTTACAAGTTTGGTTTGACCTACATATAGAAAATAAAAGTCTTGGCCTGTGTCTGTTAGCCTGTTTGGACCTATTAAACTTTCAATAATTAAAAAAAATGTTTGCTTTTTCTAAAGTTACTTTAGATAACTTTATCTAATGTTCACCGAAACGACGTCGTTTTGGGACGGAAATCATGGTATTTTTGTAATTTTAATTTATTTCAGGGTTATAATAGTCTTTATCATTATAATTTTTTAATTTTTCAACCCAAAACGACGTTGTTTCGATGAACACTAGACAAAGTTGTCTAAAGTAACATCAGAAACTTTTTTCTCTTAAAAAAATAATTAAAATAATATTATTTTATTAATCAAAATTATTAAAATAATAATTTTATTTAAAATAAATAATATAATATAGGCTGATTTGTAGGCTCATAGGCCCAACATGTACAAAAAAAACATATAGCCTACTTTCTAAATAGATTTTTTTAAAAGCCTATGTCTATTCTATTTAATTATTTATAATAGGTTAAGTCTAACATAATATAGGCTAAGCCATAGAGTCCTGAAGCGGTGTAACCCATTTATACCCGTAGATACTTAATAGTACTGATTAACAAACTTGGCCCTTGGGCGGCGCGATGGATAAGGTATTTGATAATAAAATGACAACATTTTTGGATTCTTTCACAGCTAATATTTTATTTTAAACCCAACTATTATTATGGTCATATAATATTAAATCGGATTTAATGTTTCCGCTCAATCACCATCAAACCACCGATATGTGATTTTTTTTCAAAGTGTGCGTGTGTGTTTGACACATGATTAATTTTTCGAGACACACGGTTAATGCTCTAACACGTTTTTTGACACGTGGTCAACTTTTTTGACATGCGGTTAATGCTTCGACACGCATTCGATACGTTTTTTTTTTTTACTTCTTAATTTTATTTTATTAACTAAAAATAAAAAAAATAATTTATAAATTAATTTTTTTCTGTTATGAAATTTAAATGAAAAATTAACAAGGTACAAAAAATTATTTCTATTTATATTTATATTATGAAATTTGAATATTTGATTGGTTATATGACTTATTATAGGCTATTATACTTATATTATATATATTAAAAATATTATTTAATATCAAAAGGTGTCTCAGAGTGTTGAAATATTATATTTTTTAGAATTAATGTGTCGGCGTACCGTGTAGTGTCCCGTGTCAATATCGGTGCATCATAGTCTATCCCACTCACATTATAATGGGAAGAAAGAGAAAATATTAATAGGACTCACTCACATTCACTTTTATGTAAGTGCGGCAAGAGAAAAAAAATTTATAGGAAAAATAGAAATATTTTTTTCTATTATATGTTACTTTCTTATTTTTGATTTATTTTCCAGTTTATCAATGACCTAATTAATTCGATCAAGTCAAGCAGGGCCACAAAAGTAATAAAAATCTCCTTATTAAATACTTAAGACAGTTGCCTATTCAGAACTCTAATTCAAAACTGCTACTTAAGCATTAATAATCTCGATCTCAGTTGATCCATATACTCAAATGATTGGTTAAAATAATGCAATATCTTATGCACTCAGCGAATCCCATGTCAATAATAAAAGGGAGAATTTCCTCTCTCAAGGGAGATGTAAAATGTTAATTCAACTCAAAAATTTAAAATGTTAAGCAAATATTATATTAATAATTTTATATTATATTTTTTTAACGTTCTCTTGATACAAAATCCCTTTACAATGCTAAAATCATCAGTTATCAATTTAAACTTTTGAATTAAATCATTATAAAATAGAAACAATGATTATTTCTATTTTCTACTAGCAGTCTATTTAAATAAAGAAAAAATTTGAAAAAATTCAGACTGAAATTTAATAAATAAGGAAAAATAAAAATAAATATAGAAATTAAAACTCAAATTTTATTTAAATCTGATTTCTTATATTAATTTACATGGAGATTAGTGCATCAAACAGTATTCCTCACAATAAAGTATTATATGTTGGAAATAATCAAGTGTGAGTGAGTGGTGGTGAAGTAAGTTCCACATAGTCTAGACATAGACCAAGTGATGACTATATAAGTGCAAAAAGACCCATAAACCTATAGCCTTAAGGTTTTGGGTTAAAATGTGGTGTCGGCCCACTTATTGTGGTTTATCGCTTGGCCTAAGGATGTATTCCTTGCAATGTGTTTTGGGCTCCCCCATACCATTCCCAACAGTGGTATCAGAGCCAACGATTTGGGCCAAGTGTTTGGAAGGCCTCTGCAGAAGGCTAGTGTGACCCTAATATTTGAAGACAAAAAAAGACTTCCGCAGAAGTTGACCTTAGAGTAAGAATGATATTGGGCCTCACACTTGAGGGGAGGATGTTGGAAATAATCAAGTGTGAGTGAGTGGTGGTGAAGTAAGTTCCACATAGTCTAGACAATAGACCAAGTGATGACCCTAATATTCCTTGCAATGGGTTTTGGGCTCCCCCATACCATTCCCAACATTATATATATGGTTTTAGAAGAAAAAGTTTTTCTTCTTCAATAAAATTGTTTTGTAACCATCAAACTTATGTAGACTCCACTAACTATATATATATATATAGTGACCCAGCTTAATCTAATAGCTAAAAATCTCGAGAAGGAAGAAAAAGAATCAACCAAGAGTATATAAGAATTTTCATTCCATACCATGTTATTAGTTTTCCTGCAGAAGAACAAATATAAGTTATTAAACTTAAAATAATATCATTTTTACATTACAAAATAATGTAAAATAACAACACTTGTAGTTTTTATTCTATTTTATTTTTATGTTATAATTTCAACCATTTCATGTCTTAACCTATATTATAACCTGTATCCAATAGAATGGTCTCTCTCAAAACATGACGATGAATTAAATTTCATGGCTATTAAGAAAAGGATCAGAATGGAACTTGATATACAAGCTGGCAAGCTATAGAGAGCACTGCTCGAAGAGATAAGAATGATGATTGATGCATGATAGAGAAAGACACTTTCATCGTTAAACTCGAAAGCCCAAAGTTGTTCATCCACCAACTGATACCTCTCCCTTCAATTCCTCATGCAGGTCCATCGGTCAAAGACAAAAAAGCTCACTGTTTTGAAGTGACAGAAACCAGAAAGTCGTGTAAGTGTGAATGACATTGTCTCCCAACTCCTTCTATTGCACCTTTCTTGATTTCTTCGTTGTTACATCAATATCACAACCTTCTACTTAACGAGTTCAACACACCGCAACTGTGAGCTTGTATTATTAGCCTCTTTTCTTGGGTCTGAAAGAGTCAGAAATGAACACCAAAGGAATATATAACAACAGAGTGGGTTATTCTAACACATCTCGGACCATAGTTTAAGTGGCCAACAACTAAACCTGAATTATGGTGGGGATTAAAATATGTACACATAGAACAAGTGGCTAATAAATAAGACATTAAATTAGGCGAAATAAAGGACCATTAACAATATCAAGACAAAAAGCCGCAATGAGTCATGAACTCTATTGCTAAAAAAACTAGATTAGGTAAAGCATGCATTATAACTTAAACTCATAAACCGATTATAGTAATACTTTTTAACAAAGCCCAACAAATGATGATGATTGGGTATTCAATAACAGTTGCGTTAGGGAAGAAACATTATGAACAAAAGTTCCTTTTGAGGCACAAAAGAGGAAATTTTTTCCCTAATTGACAATGACAATGTAGGCCACAAAAGAGACCCAAAAGAACATAAAGTAAAATGAAGGGAGAATGTCTTTTGGACACATCAAAAACAAAAAGAACGTGACGCTCCCAGGTGATGGCTATAAAGCGTTCGAATCTCAAGCTCTCCTAGACAAAACTAGTACAAAGTCTTATACTAGTGAATAAAAACTTGGGACAATGACAGGGTTTGGCACTTCATGTGGAGCATGCAAGTTCCTAAGGAGAAAGTGCACGCGTGATTGTATATTTGCTCCTTACTTCTCCTATGACCAAGCTGCAACTCATTTTGCAGCAGTGCATAAAGTTTATGGTGCTAGTAACGTCTCCAGGCTATTATCACATCTTCCAATCCATAATAGAAGTGACGCTTCCATCACCATATCTTATGAAGCATTGGCTCGCATGCAGGATCCTATATATGGTTGTGTTGCTCATATCTACGCATTGCAGCAACAGGTTTCGATCCATGCTATGACCCCCACAACCTGCTATATTAATATCATACCATAAATATAGTTTAAGTAATTTTGTGTTGCATATGTATCTTGAACTTATTGCTGTGTGTAGGTTGCGAGCTTGCAAGAGGAGATTGGTATTCTTGGAGGTTTAATGGCAAATTCCACAGTTAGTGATGTAAATTCTGGCAGTGTCCAAGCACCGATGAACTCAAACAACGGAATACAGTATCTTTTGAAGCATGATGCTACAAGGGCACAGTATAATCAAAATCAATTGGCTAATTTTCTTTCACAAGAAGGAAGTGCCACAGTCTACCAAAGTTTCGACTCACTGAGGGATAATATAGAGCTTCCTAATAATGCACATGGACTAGAAGGGCCTTCATTTGGCAATTCTAACTCCAATCCGTTAGAGAAGTTCCTATCTGGAATTGACCAAGAGGTCTTCATGAACCATCCATGGTTCAAGCATAATGCAGACATAAAGAACTAGTAATATTAAAGCTGTGACTAGCTACACTTTGGCTTACCCCACCTAGTACAAGACGATTGCATGAGGATCAACTTTTGTGTGACATATATATAATTATATACGTAAGAGTGTAAGATTAATGTTACTCCCACAATTAAATAACAAATCAACAGACTGTAAATCCAGTTGTAAAGTTTTGAAACCAAAAATGATTGGTAGAATCATTACTTTATATCTAATTAAAGCAAGCAATTAATTTCTCTGTTTTTTTTTTTTAAACTTAGCTTATATATTAGGTAGGTCCCTGAGTTAAAAACGTTAACAGAAGCAAGTGGATTTTAACTGGACGTATCCTACTTAGCAGATAAATATGAAAACCACAGGCACGCAACTCTCTAGTTAATTTCAAAGTAGAAAGATAATTCAACTAACAAGTGGATTTTAATTGTCCTCGCATAAAACAACCAACAGAACCAAGTGAGGTTTGGTCGGCTGCCTAGATCAAATAACTTTATTCGGCTCAATCAAAAACTAAATTATAATAAATCTATTCAGAGTAAGGAATTTTTTATGGTTTCTTCTATTTTATTTTATTAAATCAGACTATCATTTGATTCACTAGAGTCTCGGTCTTCTCATACGTCGAAAGTCACCTTATGCGAGTTGCTATTAATCCAGGATGCCTATGATTTATTCAAAAGAAAAAACTTTTCAACAAGTGAGATATATATATTTATATATATATATATATATATATATATATATATATAAAAGAGATCATTTGACCCTAGAGTAAGACTTATATATAAAAGAGATCATTTGACCCTAGAGTAAGACTTATAAGTTTTACTTCTCATCCTAGTCGTTGATTTCCGTCCATCCAACAGTTATAGTTTAGGAAGTTATATTAATTAATTAATTATTAATTACGCTATAAATGAAACCATTAATTTCCGTCAATCAACGGCTGAGATAGGGAGTAAGACTTAAAAATCTTACTCTCGAATCAAAAGAACCCTCCTCATATATATATATATATATATATATATATATATATATATATATATATATATATATATACACGCACACGCATGTGCAGGCGTGTGCGTGCACGTACATGCACACAAATGCACACACCTGCACATCTGATATATATACACGCACACGCATGTGCAGGCGTGTGCGTGCACGTACATGCACACAAATGCACACACCCGCACATCTGATATGCATTTAGATATTGCCCTTAGTCTATTTTTGGAGACTTTTCGAACTTCCTGGAGAGTCACACAGAAGATACAGAGCGTGCTTGAAGCTTTCTCTTTAGAGATATTTGAGAGATTTATTTTTGGGTCCTAGATCAAACACAATTGCATTTGATGAAGATGTTGTTGGAAGTATTCAAGTATGAGTTGTAAAGAAGTACCACATTGGCTAGACATAGACCAAGTAATGACTATATAAGTGCAAAAAGACCCATAAACCTACAGCCTTAAGGTTTTGGGTTGAGATGTGGCGTCGGCCCACTTATTGTGGTTTATCGCTTGGCCCATGGATGTCTATCTTGCAAAGGGTTTTTGGGCTCCCCGTACCATTCTTAACAGTGGTATCAGAGCCAAAGGTTTGGCTGGGCCGGGTATTTAGAGATGGTGATGTTTCAAGGCCTCCGCAGAAGGCTGGCGTGACTCCAATAGTTCAAAGAAAAAAGACTTCCGCAGAAGTTGCCCTTAAGGGGAAGCATGATGTTGGGTCTCATACTTGAGAGGAAGATGTTGCAAGTATTCAAGTATGAGTTGTAAAGAAGTACCACATTGGCTAGACATAGACCAAGTAATGACTATATAAGTGCAAAAAGACCCATAAACCTACAGCCTTAAGGTTTTGGGTTGAGATGTGGCGTCGGCCCACTTATTGTGGTTTATCGCTTGGCCCATGGATGTATCTCTTGCAAAGGGTTTTTGGGCTTCCCGTACCATTCTTAACAGATGTACCACTCTTTGCCTTAACTTTAATTAATTCAGCAATCGAATTGGGAGGGCCTTCCATTTGCTGTCACCCTAGTTTGCTGAGCTTAATTAAAGATAAATTGTTTCTTAATCTGATGCAATTTGGATTGTCAACGAGCCCCTTATACTTTCAATGGTGTGTAGCATTGTTCTCAACCTGTATCATAATCTTCGTACAGAGCTCAAATTGTAGCTAGAAGCATTTTTTTCTTGTGAGACTTGCATAAAGCAAATAAGGAGCTTTATACCAGCAGCAGGAGGTAGCCATGGATGCCCTTGTTGACTTCTGCTGGCAAAAAAACATTAATGGTAGATACGTATGCTAACTTTGACTGTGACATTACTCGCAGTAATGTCTTTGAAGACCTTGCTAATTTGTTGTCAAAAAGTGGATATCCTATGAACTGTCTATTGTCTACCATGCATATTCTTGCTTTGGATGGTCTAACTCCGTTCTGGATGGTTAAATCTGAGAATTACAGTGATCCAAATCATTGGGTTCCTTTGGTCTGCCGAAGAATTAAATTAACCCCGGAGGCTCAATTAACAATTGAGTTCCTAAGGATTTCTTTGGGTCATGGGTTCAAATTTTGCCACGAACAAATTTTTAAAAAAAAAATTGGGATAAAGAGAAGATTGAATGATCCGGATGATACAAAAAAAAAAAAAAAAAAAGAATTAAATCAAAAGAACTGTACTCACCTTCTGAATGCGTGAACTTTTTGTAAATTATATTAGTTCTCACAATCCAATAATAAGATTAATGAACATTTATAAATGTGATTCGCATGGTGTAATCAACCTCAAATACACTTTATACTCATAAATCACCTTGTTCAACAAAAGACACTTTCTCATAATGATGCCACAAACTTACTACTTTACTTTCAAAGGTTAATATTGACATATAATTCCTGAGTAAAAAAGTTTATCTCATCATATGGGTCTCCTACATTGATCGATTCGCCATTGGAGCTCTAGTTTTACATTATCTGACACAACCCTCGTCTTTTATCCACACTTAAAAGACAGGTTATGTAAAGTTTGAGAAAAAGAAGCATGACATGGGCAGAGTTGGTTAAAGACGTACACGTGACATATAAACATTTTATTCATTTTCAGATTATATAAACTAGCAAGACTAATTTTTTATTAGGATATGCAGTTAGGATTTATTTAAAAAATTTATTATCTTTGGGCTGAAAATAATTTTAATTGCTATATATTACAAAGACTTTTATATATTTAATGGGAAAAGTGTGTGTCCTTTTATATAATTAATGAAAAAAATATCTATCTCTTCTTTAGAAGGACTTAAGTTTATGTTCTTTAAAAAGACACACATTTTTCTCACAATTAATTAATTATTAATATTTTATTTCTCTTTGAGAAATATCCTATCAAAAATAGCACTCTTATAACTCTTTCAGTAGAATGCATCAAGTCTTGTATCACAAGTCCGTGTAAAATTGAAATTTCTTTTGTTAGGTAAAAGAAAAAAAGAAAAAGACTTTCTTCCATTTTCACAACCTATCAATGCCAAACACACACAAATTAGAATTACAAAAAATTAAAACAGTAAAGAAAAACCCCTAATTTTCAATTATGAATATTAAAATAAAAAAATATTTCACCAAACAGTTGTATTAAAAATCTTTTTGTATGGCATTAGTTAATTTTATAACATAAAGTTAAACTAAAAAATTACAAAATAATACAAGAATTAAAATAATGTCGTAATAGTAACTCATTGGTTAAATAAAAAGAAAGATTGAAAATAAGGATTACGATAAAATAATATTTCTCTTTTCTGAATTTTATTAATAAAAAACAACAAAATAATTATAGGGTTCTCCAAGCCTTAAATAGGCAAAACAAAACAAAATGAAAATAAAATCAAAAAGAATCATGCGCAAACAAAGAAGATAATGCACAATTAATAAAAGAAATAACAAAAAAGTAAATAACTAATAATTATTTAAAGCCCTAAATTATGAAAAGCTCAAAATTGTTGATGCACATGCAAAACGACGAGTCTTGCTCAGAAGCCAATTTCGAGTTGTCTATCCAAATTTGAGCACAATACAAGTCGGTTAGCTCGAGTGCATCATCTTCACCCGCTAGGAAAAGATTCGCCTTCAAATCTGCTTCATTTTCATTGATATCAACTTTTTCAGGTGGTAATCCAGGTGGCAACTCTTCTAGTACAATATCACCAAATTCCCTAATTAAATGTAGAACTTGTGAATGCAATTCTTTGTTATGCTTGGTATGTTCATCTACATTTGAACTAAACTGTTTGGGAACTAGAAATGATACGAGTTCTAAGGGAGTAAGTGGACAAAGCCTATAGATTATTCGAAAAGGACTATTGCATATAGTTTGGTTCAGTGATCGTGTCTGTGATCCGTCATAGGAAAATTCTGCCTGAGGCAACATCAAGTCCAATTGTCCATGACGATCTCCAATTAAACTTTTACCAAAAGCTAAATCGCTATCTCCATGGAGCATGAGGTTGCTATGTCCGTTGTGCCTAAGTTCATAATTTTGCTTGCAAATTAAAGACTTCTTGAATGAACGATCATTCCCCATGGCATCTTTGGATAGAACTTCAGCTTTGTTAGAGATATTAGAATTTCTAATAATTGACTTTACATTGAAATCACTATAAAGGAATTCTTCCACCTTTGGATTCTCAATGTCTTGCTCCCTATCATACTTATCATAGACAGGGAATTTGCCATAGATTGGAGCATCAACAATTGGATTCTCATCATCTTGCTCTTTGTCAAATTCATCATTGATAGGGTCCTCGTCATATAATGGATACTCTTTGTTCTTTTCTTCGTCAGACGCGTTATAGACAGTGACATCATCATAAATTAAAGCTTCAATAAGCATCACAATCTACTGATTTCGACAATTCATAGCAAAATGTTCGATCCCCTAACACTTGAAACACCTCTGCGCCGCAACACCCATCATTTTTGATCCACCATTGGTTGATCCTTGTTT